CTACTCACTCTCTCTCTCTCTCTCTTTCTGTCTTACTCACTCTCTTCTCTCTCTTACTCTCTCTCTCTCCGTCTCTCCTCTCTCTCTCTCTCTCTCTCTCTCTCTCTCTCTCTCTCTATCTATAATATAATATATATATATATAATATAATATATAAATAATATATATATATGGTATTCTGTGTGTGTGGTGTGTGTGTGTGTTGTGTGTTGTGTGTGTGTGTGTGGTGTGTGTGTAAGTATATTACAGACACGCACATACATACACACAAACACACACACACACACACACACAAACAACACAGACATACACATACCACACACACACACACACAAACACACACACACCACACACACACACACACACACACACACAACACACACACACACACACGCAAAAACACACGCACACACACACACACAAACAAAACAAACAAACACACACACAACACACACACACACACACACACACACACACACACAGCAGTAGCAGAAACAGCACTTCACACGTTCTCTCTCGCAGCGCCGGTCCCTTGGCATGTTGGAGGTAAACACCGCCAGAGCAGATAGCGTATCTCAGCGGGTATCCCTTGCCTCCCTCCTCCACCCTTCCTCCCCTTCCCCCTCATCCTCTCTCCCTTGCCCCTTTCTTCCCTTTCCTCCAAATCCTCTCCCCCTCCCCCTCCCCCTTCTCCCTTCCCCCCTCCTTTCCTTCCCTCCCTCTCCTCGTGAAGTTATGCGAAGCCCATTTGCTGCTAACATGCTATAAATTATGCATTTTCAAGCAGATTACAACGAGCCACGACCTGGGCTAGTTATACTCGGGGTCCTCCCTGCTTTAAGAGGGCTCGGGGAGAGGGAGGGGGGGAGGAGGAAGGAGGGAGACGGATAGAGGGAGAACGAGAGAAAGAGGGAAAGAGAGAAAGAAAAAGAGTGGGCGAACGAGCGAGCGAGTGAAAGAGAGAGGGAGAGAAAGAGACAGGCAGATAGACAGATAGATAGTTAGACGGACATACAGTTAAACAGACGAAAGAAAGATGGGGAGAGAGGGAGACAGAGAGAAAGAGAGAAGCAGACAGATAGACAGACAGACAAAGGCAGAGAGATAAAGAGAGCAGACAGGCAAACTTGACGGAAGGGTTAAAAAAAAAATCGAGAGAGAGAGCGGAAAGGAGCAAGAGAGAAGGCACCTAAATAGAGGCGAGGAGGACACACAAAGACGACGAAGTAATATGAAATCACTTTTTGACCGAATACGATTTTTGATTGAGATTTAAGATAAGAACATGCTTTTTTCTTTTCTTTTCTCCATTTACTCTCTCGTCATTTCATATCTTTAGTGATGACAGGGTGAATATATATTCTCTTTTTTTATTATTCTAACATGAAAGTCAAAAAAAAAAACGGGAAAAAGCACCATATTTTTGCCTGTGCTTAAAGTGACTTGCCGTGACGGATATTCCTAATGTGAGTTCGCTGTTAAGTGGACCCATTGTGACGTCCGGCCAAGGATCGTGTGTATGAAGCAAGATATGCCGTAAGAATAGGATGCGCCTCCGAGACATTTCAATCTGTCAGGGTTATTACGGGGAGGCCGGCGAGGGCGCTCTTGCAGGGGAAGATAAGAGGAGTCGGTCCATGTCCGCGAAGGATGTTAAGTGCTGCTACTTTGTGCGTAGG